CAGGATTACTTCAATGTTCAAAATTGTAGTTGCTAAGCACAGCTGCAATTTATTTTTGCTGTTTTCTGTCACTGATGGCAGTGATGTAAAGGTATTCGCATTAGTAAGAAACAGTAAAGAATTTCAGATTCTTTCCCTCCCATTCCATCAGGTAAATGTATCAATGTCACCCCGTTCAAATTCTCCAGCGCCTTCGGATTCAATCTCCCAAGTAAACATGCCTTATCGTGGCGATTCGTCGTCAACTCGAGCTAGCGGTTCCATTAATCTTAATGGATCTTTCAAAACGGTTTCACAGTCATTATTTGAAAATTAAAAAAAATTTTTTTTTGGTTTTTCACCACTAACTCAACACAATTTTTCTCTTTACCATCCATCTAAAGTAATTGCACTTGCTTTGTTTATTTTTCTACCCTTCAAGATGCCTGCCAAATCGGCAGAGACATAAACAAAAAGAAGAAAAAAATAGATATGTATTGTTTAATTAAAGCTTTGGGCAATTCTTTATGACTTATTAAACTGTTGTTATCGAGAGGTTTCTTTTTTTCTTTGTCTTTCTTCTTTAATGGTCAAAAACATTTTCGAAAATTAAGCCATTCGATGTTGATTGTTCTCTGATGAATACATTGTTTCGTCTTGTTGTTAGTCTTACTTTTCTATGAATTTTTATATGCCAGCAAAAAGAAAGAAACAAATGATCTTTTTCTTTCACCATAAAAAATGGGTTTAAAAAAGTTGTCTGTAGGAAGAAATTATTTTTTGACACCAGATGAGAGGATAAAAGTGAAGAACTATAACAGTGAAAAGTGATGAAGAGTTATTATCAATCCATGTTTTAAGGGTCATTCTGTGGAAACACCTGTGTCGCAGAAACGCTCACTTCTGCCCGATGTATCTCAGGATGTTTCACAAGGTACCACAATACCTATGCAATCGTTCGACAGCGCTTCTCAAAGTCATTCACTAAAACCGCAAGATTCTGAAGAAATGGCGGATAGCAATGAAGCAACGTTGAACGAACAGCAAGAGCTCACAACTCCACTCCAAGTGCCTCAGGAACCAGCTGCAAAAATCAGTAAGGAGGAAGAAGAAAAGTTAAAGTAGGAGCAAAACTTTTTACATTTTCGTTAATTTACCACTATTTTTTATTTACCTGACCTCTTGTCAACTGTGAGGATGACAGTAAGCGTAATTGTTGGGACCCTATTTGTAACTAGGTTATTAAACCGGAAAATAATGAGAGTATTTTGAGCGATAAAGAACTTTTACAAGGAAGTAATGTGGGATTTGAACTGGTGACAAAACCCTTGTTTCAGAGCGGAAAAAGAGGAAGAAGAGCACAAGCAAATGCTTCAATTATACGTTTTTGTGGCGCGGTGTATCGCATATCACTTTAACGCAAAGCAACCAACGGATATGGCTAAGCGACAACTAAAGGTTTATTTATTTTATTTGCGTCTAATTTTTCTTCTTCTTTGATCTAACAAATACATTTTTTGAATTGCTAAAGTCATAAATGCGTTGCTCATATTGCTGTATAACATCATCAATTTAAAGTAACAAGTTGTTGAATAAAATTTTTATTTTTTTTTGTGCTTTTCAATAGACCAGCCGAAAGAAAAAGAGAATTTTTTTCTCTGATATACCAAATTTTTGGATAAGCGTACATCATTTAGGTTCAAAGAAATTTCAGGTGTTTAAGACTCTGAGAAAGCAATAAGATTGTTGTGTTTTAGGTAACCAAACAGGACCTGGCGAGAACTAAAGATAGATTTCAAGCATTTTTGAAGGGAGAGACACAGATTGCCACAGATGAGGCTTTTACAAAAGCAGTTGACTCTTATTTTGAGGTGTGTCGAAAGCTTTTTTTGTCTGTTTCGCTCGTTCCTCTTCTTTTTTTTAGGCTTTTACTTTCAGCTGAAACCTTTCTAACCCGCTTTTTTTTGTGAACTGATTGAAGTGTTCACAATTGTTACATTTTTCAACTTACGTTACAGAGTTTCCTTAAATCTTCACGGGTAAGCAAAGTGATTGAATTAGGTGCCCTATCGCAGCACGACTTCCGTGAAGTTAGTCCTTTTGCCACTTTTTTCGCCTTTTTTTTCAATACTGCAATAACATCAGGGAAAAAATCCTTAATAGAATCTGATTTTTCGACCCATTTAACAAAATTTTTTACCATTTTTTGCTTTTCATTTTGTTTCCTTCTTTTTTTCTGGAATTTTTTTATATTTTACGTCACTTACTCGTAACACTGCAATATGTTTACCTTAACTAAATCAAGTTAATTTTAAGCCTCAAAAGCTCTATTTTGATGCTTTAGTCTTTTTTTTTTCTCAGGTTTTTCGCTGCAATGTAGATAAGCGAATTCGATCGTTACCAGAAATTGATGGGCTTTCAAAAGAAACTGTGTTAAACAGTTGGATGACTAAATTTGACACGATTATGAGGGGTGAAGATGACGGTGTACATCAGGGCAGGTCAGTCAGGAAAATCTATTTTTAGAAGCCAATTTTATTTTTTATTTTTTAGATCAGTCGAATGCAGATCTAAAGACATTTTTTTTTTGAAAGTGATTTATAAAAATTTATTGTGGAAAACGATTTAGCATTAACTGCTTTAAATAATTTTTTTTATGAGGTTAGACGGAAGACTTAGGAAGAGGTGAAAAAAAGCTTGGCGGTTGACTATTTTGCATTACATTACAATAATTATCGGCAAAAACTTGTTTTATATAGTAATGATAATGACTGCTTTTCCTAAAATGTCTTAATAATATTTGTTCTCATCACTTTTATTTTTATTTTTATTTTTTTTGATTTATTCTATGTTGACAATAAGGCGAGATGATTGTGACAGAAAATTGAGAGTTAAAAGGAGAAGAATTTGAAATAACGAATTGGTGGTAATTTTAATTGTTTTGGCTTGTTGTTTACTGAGCGCAATAAAAGAGTAAATTGCTTTTCAGAAGCCGCTTGCGAGGCTTCAATCAGTCGAATGCAGATCTCATACTTGGCAAAGAGCAACTGTATGATATGTTTCAACAGATCTTGGGAGTTAAAAAATTTGAACATCAAATTATCTTCAACGCATTACAGGTAACTGCTAAGAAACTGTTGTACAAGTGATTTATGTACAATATCGATGCTAAATCTTTTGACAGTAGAACTAGAAAAATGAAATTAATTGTCGTTGTTGGTCAATACTTTGTTAAGACTTAAAAAAAATAGCTTAAGTTGTACTTCTATAATTTATCTTTTTGGTTAAAAAGTTGTTTACGTAATATTGGGGTGGACAAAGTTTGAACATTAATCTGCAGTTACTACAATGTATGACACTGGATGGTAGAGAAGCAAGTGGAGTTTTGCAGTAGGGGATAAAATTGGTGCCTGAGCTGAAGATACAAAGACTTTGAGCACTAAAAGTTATAATATTAATGTCTGTTCAAAAATTGTATACTAACAACTAGAAATGTACAACGAGCACACCTGTTTGCGTAGTAAAGCTTTAGCTGCTAATTTTTCCTCCAAAAAAAATACTGAATTTTGATTATATAACCAGATTTGGCAAACCACTCTTTTATCTATTGAACACAGTAAAAAAAGTTGCGGAATAAAAGGGAAAGAAACTTTCTCTTTTGTTGCCGATTAACTCAGTTTTTTTTTACAATTCAAATAAATTGTGTTCAGCTGTTATATGAATCACATTTGCAGTTGGATAATCCCGATGAACAAGCTGCTGCTATCAGACGTGAAGTTGCTACAAAAGAGGAGACATTAAAAGATTTTCATAAAGTGAATAAATTGTTTGTAGTTTTTTTGCACGTTTTTTCCGTTTTTTTACTGATTTTAATTATGCAGTAAGAAGTTTGTCTTTTAAAAAATGTAATAATTTAGATGAAAAAAATAATGCCAAAATTTGTGGTAAAAGATATGGAAACATTATTTATTGATGAAACAAGGCAGTCTATCAATTTACTGATTGCAAACTTAGAATCTGTTCCATTGGCTGGTAAACAGGGAATGGGGAGGCGAAAAGATGGAAAAGCAAAAACAAGGTACGATGTTGGTTTATAATTATTGTTAGGTTGTACTTGACGAGAAGATGATCAAAATTAAAAATTTTTAATGGGTTTCAGCTGTCTAGTAGCAACCACATAAATTTTTCAATTTTTTTACTGTATCAGATATAGGCTTTTGATAGGCTTTTGTAAAAATACCGTTCATAAATTACTTTTTTTCTCTGTTAAACGTTTTTATGGCTTTGTTTAGAAGTTTTAACGGAGTTTCAAGTAGAACTGCCTGCATGACTGTTGCAGATCCATCTTTACTATTTCTTCGGATCCATTTATTTAGGGGAGGAGGGATGAGTAAATGAATCGCTAAAATGAATTGTTTGATAACTGAATTCCTGGTACAAGTTTAAACAAATTATAGCTTTATAAAATTTTAATAACTTCTTATACGGTCAACAATCTTTCATTTTTGACCTTTAAAACATTATGTCGTTTTACATAGCATTATGAAGAAAGGTAAAGAAAAGAAGTGCAATCAAAATTGATTTTTGGAAGAAAAAATTCATATAATATTAGCTGTATTTTTAAAGTAGAAAACTATTATTAGAGGACTTTTGCGAATGAAAAGTTTAAAGGGTAAATTTGTTAAATTTTTGGGTAATTTAGTTTG